AAAAGAAAATTGAATTATGATTTGTTACTCAATTAATTTCAAGTAATTTTGATGTCTATCCAAACTTATCAACCATCAATGTTCGTTTCGTTGTAAGATGGACTTGCCAAAGCAAGGTGTCTGCAATTATATGAGTGAGGTGGATGGTAATGGTTACCATATGAAACAAGATTGGTTTACTTGACTAGGCTATCAAAACGGTTTTGGGTTTAAGACATAGGTTGGATAAGACATAAGATGTCATCTGACAACCAAGAATTATATTGGATATAATTTGCAAAGTGTTGCTTACCTAAATAGCTAAAATTCAGGCGATGAGCCAAAGCTCACTTGGATTTTAGTGAAATATGGATCTTGGCTTATTATATTCATTTGAGGAAAATGTTTTGAATATAATATGAGTTTTCTTAATTGTTGAGATTTCTCAATTTATGAACATCATATTAACATTCTCTATTCTTTTATTCTAGAAATGTTAACTCCTCACAACTCGTTTTCATTTCGATATGTTCTTGAGAAGAACAAATTGAATGGATCAAACTTCCTCCAATGGTATCGAAACCCGAGAACTGTTCTCAAGCAAGAGTTTAAACCCTACTTAGAAGATCTGAAAAGTAAAAAGACTTTTGAAACATTGTCTAGGGGTATTTATGTTATAGAAGTAAATGTTACTACTTCTGGTTCTACTTCTTGGGTATTGGATACCGGCTGTGGTGCCCATATTTGTACGAATATGAACGGCCTAAGCAACAGTAGAATTTTTTAGAAAGGACAAGTGGACCTACGCGTAGGAAATGGAGCAAGAGTTGCTGCATTAGCCGTGAGGACATTTCATTTGTCTTTACCTTCTAGCACTCTCTCAGAAGCTTCTCTCGAGTTAAGCATCACGCATAAGGAGCATCCCCACCTGCTCCTGAACAAACATCATGAAGTAATTAGTTTCCTGTAGTAACACTGCTAAAGTCCTAAACAATGTATGAACAGTTCACAAACACATATTCCTAAATCGATGTAACAAATCACAGACACACACCACAAGAATCCTAAACACAAATCACAGACCACTCATCACTCACCTTAAGTGCCTGGCACTCTCTCAGAAGCTTCACCCATGGTTGTCTGAAATGCAAACCGTCGTTCTGCCAAAAAACAGATAAATTTTAAGAAATTGAATACAAGAACCATAAACAAGAATGAATACATCGATTTAGAATGTAAGCAAGAATGAATACATTACATACCGTGAACTCTGTGCAGACGAAGTATATTTTTCCCGGGAAGTAGTCGTACGTATCGTCTTCATCAACGGTTTCCTTCGTGATTGCTCCACAGGGGCACAGCTTCGGAATCCCGAATTGTGCATCTGCAACAAAGTGGAGCATGTTGTAGTAGTCTTTGTGTGCTTTCTGATCTCGAAGTTCTTCCTCCATTGCAGAGCCTGCAAGAACAAACACCTAATGAGATTCGCTATTACAACCTTATGTGACCCTAAACGTACTAAAACGGCACAATAGAGACATAAAACAAGGAAGAAACGAATCAAGATGCTTCGTATCTCAAACGTAGACGAAATCCCTAGTTTGAAAAAAATCCCCAAATCGATTACAAACCCTAAATCTTGTAAAACCTGAAGATAGAACACTAAAACAACAAATAAGCGAAGCGGGATACAGAAAGGATCAACCATAGACGAAAACCCTAAATCTGGAGAAAAAAAACAACTCGATTTTATACTTTCAATCGATTAGAACCCACCGATATAACCCGAAAACAGACTAAATCAACATGCATGAACTCGAGATGCAAAATAATCGAGGTTAAACCTCCGATTTACCTTCACGGTTTGGAAATCGCCGAATCGCCTTCGGTGTCGCGAGAGAGAGATAGGTTTTTTTTTTCGTTTGCGAGAGAGAGAATGATTTTTTTTTCCAACCCCCAAATCTCATCTCCGACTCGAGCCGCTCACAACCTGCCACGTGTTTAAGGATTGGATCTTTGTGATCCTTCTTTACGGATCAATCCTTCGCTGGATCATGGGCTTTATTAATAAAAAATGCCCATTTGCATATGTACTTGCGCCAAAGATTTGTTATGGACCTGCATTGGACCTGCTCTTAGCATAATCATGGATCTCACTGATAAGTGTCAACCCGCGATTGGTCCCAATTTTTTTTTTTTGATTCTGAAAAAAAATTAATAAAAAATTGAAAAAAAAAACCTTTAAGAATTTTTTGTCAGGTTCACCAATGGACATACTCTATTGAAAAATAGGCGAGCAAACTGGTCAAAAGAGTGAAGTTAACCTGAAAGGGATGTGTGTCTGAGAAGCATTTAATGTGTGTGCATCTAATCTATTAAAACTGAAGTACAAGTTTGAATTAACCCTTAATTTTCCTTAAATATTACAAGCTTATGCCACTGGCCCCAGTCGTATTTAACACTTAAATCAAACCAATTTAATTTATTTTAGATAGTGAACCAAACATTATGTCTATATCACCTAAAACAAACCACCGGCTTAGAAATTTTTAACTAACCACGTCAATAATTCCTTCAGTTTAATTAGTTTACCAAAAAAAAAAGGTTGTTAAAGCTGTAATAATTAACCAAGACAACTCAAATTCATCAAAACCACCATAACTTTACACAGTCCTCGAATAAAACTTTACACAGTCCTCAAATTTGGAGAAAATTTTAAATGCTATATTCTTAAGATTATATTGACAAATATTATGATGTAAAATCATTTTTACCATTTCGCAAATATTAAAACATATTATTTTCACCCGCTCAAAACTAAGTAGTCTTTTTATATTATATATATAATAATAACTATTTTCAAAATTTTATTTACATAAATAATATCAAATTGACATAAAGTTAAATAAAAATTTAAATAATTACTTAATTATTCTATTACTAATAATTTTATATGCGTCATAAATCCAAAAATATAAAACAACATTCAATACGATGTATAATTAGTCTATAATTTAAAAAAAATCAAAATGAATAATAATCCGACACCAATATCATAATATTATGTACAATAAACATATACAGTATATTTTTAAAAATTAAAACAAATACCCGCACGGGCGTGCGGGTCAAAATCTAGTAAGTAATTGTGGCACTAGGCCACTCCGCATAAGCAGGTGCATTACAAGAAAGCTGATTTAGTGATTGGGTACAGAAAGCTGGGGTCCATAGTTTAGGCTGACTTGAGTTCTTGGCATCTCTGTAGGATTAATTTGATGGTTGATTATATAAAACAACTAAGTCAGGTCCGTTATAGAACAGGCATGGCAGTGACTAAAATAAGTAGAACGTACGTAGTAATGTGCGACATCTATACTCTTTTTCTTTCTTTTTCTTTTTTTCAGTATTGTTAACTCGTTTTAAAAGTGCAGTTTATGCTTGTATTTTGTTGCGTTTTTGTACCTTTTTGTGGCATCGTTATTTCTTTTGTACTTTATATTTGGTTATTGAGATAAAATTGTAAAGAGACCAATCGTTCCGTGGTAGATGGATCGTTTATCTCTTGCACACTAAAAACACACACACACACCAGTTCCAGTTGGGGCCACCGAAATCCCGTAAAGCGGCCACTATATCTGTTCAGGTTTGGGCTACTTAACGTCTCTCATTTAAAGGTGGCTGTGACAGGCCCGTGTGGTTGACACCCAAATGTAACAACGCAGGGTGTTCACACGTTTGAAGGTGAAGGACGCTACTCTCTCTCTCTCTCTCTCTAGCTTCCTACCTCTAAATTCTGATTGGCTGTGATATCACCGCCCCAAATCCGGAGAACTACGTTTTGACACGTATAACATAAAACTCCAAATAACAGTAGGGATAAATAATATATAATTTGGGTTGATTTCCTTCACCAACAAACAGTAAATGCTTGAAACCACTTTACTAAAGGTCTTTTTTTTTATTAGCTCGAACAATATAAGCTGTTTAATCATGGATTTTAGTTCTGATGATTGATTGATTATTATAAAGAGTGACTGCTTAAAATTTAGTCCAAAAATATTCTGTAGAAATTTTCATTTTAAAAGACAGGGTAATTTTACACGTAATATTTTGGTTGAGACTACATTTGTGTATTGTTACTTTCAGACTATACATAAAATTATAGCTTCTATATATCAGTTGTAAATAAACCATATGTACATGTTATACTTTATGGCTTTACAACTATGGTTTAGGAAGAGTTGAATGAAAACAATTGTGAGGATAATGAGCCTTATCTTCTCCTTTATCTTTTAGCTTTTCTAACAAGGGAAAGATAATGAGCTTTATAGTGGGAACCGTTCACAGTTTCCAAAATATGATTGGATACAGAAAAATTTGTAGAATAAAACACTAATGTAAGTGGATTAGGTATAAAATCTGAGTTTATCATATAGATTAGAGTAATTTAAAATATATTATTGAATTGTCTTTTTGAAACACATTTTTATTGAAACACAAACATTGTTGAATATTTTCTTCATCTTTTTAACTATTAGATTGACAATGTGTGTTTTTTCAGATTTGACAATGTGGTTTTAAATTATTGAATCACATGAATCTTAATTTGTTTGTGATTGGATTTACTAACATTCAGTTAACTTTTTCTTCTACCAGAGATTCGAATTTGTATCAGTTACTTTTGTGAGAAACAAATGTTATTACTTGAAAAGATGAAAGGCAAAAGAAAAAAGAGTTTGACCTTGTTCACTTTAAGTTGTGTTCGTCTTTCAAGTCCAACACATGTGCAAGAGACAAGATGAATGAATATTTTAACAATTACTTTTAAAAATAATGAAAAGCCAAAAAAGACCGATCACCAGGTCAAAAGAAGAAAGCCGTATTGAAAAATCCAACTTGAAAAGAAAAACTCTCTTTTACCAAACAGACACAGAGAGTCTTCGCAGAAGAATACTGTCTAATACACACAAAAAAAAAAAAAAACTATCTCTCTCGTCAAAGATTGAATTAAACCGAATCCGGTTTAAAGTAGGAGCAGTATCAACACTTGGGATTTTAGATTAGAGACAAACGTAACCAAAACTCTTTCATGTTCGGTCTCTTTTGTTCTGTTCTCTTAGTTTTTTTGTGTCTTCTCTCATCTTTTCTAATTTTCTCAGGAAAAATCTTGGACATTCCTAGAAACTTTATTAAAACAAATCAAAAGAACCAAATAGATTCTTTCGATCACAATCAGATTCCTCTGGATCGGACCAAGATGAAACCATCAGCTTCTTTAGATAGCTGGAGAGAGTTTTTCCGGCGAGGAGATTCCGATATTTACGAGATCATCGATCACGCTATCATGGTTGCCGCTGCAGATTCCCCTAACAAATTCAAATCAAGAAGAGATAAAATCGCAGAGCTTCTCTTCTCATGTAGAGTCACTCGCTGCAACGGATGCGACCATCTCGAGCTCTCCCTTCCCGGAGACGACGAGGAGGCTCATCTCGGAGGTGATACGACCGTTGGAGATAACAATAATAATCAGATTGTTAGTAGTTATAGTTATGATGATGAAGCTGAGGCTTTGAGTGATGCGATTGAAGAGTTTTCTATGGTTTCTAAGGAGGTTGTTAGGATTAAAGACATCTTTCTCAACAAAGACCACCAGGTTTTTTTTTTTTTTTTAATCTTTTGACTTTCTTTTTCAAAACTACAATATTTTTTGATCATGGAAGCTTAATTTCTGATTGTTTTTTTTTGTTTTGTGGATGCAGCCACACTCGGTGATACTTGAATCCCTAAGGAAGCTAAAGTTGATGTCTTTGAATGTGGATATTCTCAAGGTTGGTTTCTGGTGTATCAAGTTGTTGTTGAGGTTTGTATGGAGTTTAGTGTTTGATCTTAAGGTTATTCTGCGCAGAGTACTGAGATTGGAAAGGCTGTTAATGGATTGAGGAAACATGCTTCTGATCAGATTCGCCAACTTGCAAAGTCTCTCATCGCGTATGAGTTGTTTTACTTCTTTCATAAAGATTGACACTTTCTTACCACTTTTTAGAGTATGTCATTGAGTATTCTTTATTGGGGTTAATGCAGAGAGTGGAAGGAGCTAGTTGACCAATGGGTGAACACCACAAAGGAAATCGCTGGTAAATACACTTTCTTCTGGTCCTTTTACTGCCTTATGGGGATTTAACATCTTACAGTTTTGGTTTTTGTTTCTTGTGTTAATAAACAGGTGCTGGAGGTACACCAGAGTCTGCAAATCCGTCTGTTGTTGATGATGAAGAAGCGTTTCCATCGCTTCCTTATGATGTTGACATCTTCACACCAGAAGCTAACGGTTTTGAGATGTTAAATGGGGACTTCTTTGATTCTTTGGACTTTGATGGAAGTGAGTTAGACAAGAACTATTCTCTTGTTTGTTTGTTTCTTTGTTTTAGTTTGGTTGATTGATTTCTCTGTGGGATGTTTGTTTCAGATCCTTGTAACTCTGGGGAATACAACACAAGCCGAGAACACGAAAGAAGAAGAACACAGAAGAGAAGACCTGAGGGAACACAAATGAGGACACAAGACGATCCTTTCAGATCTATTAAGCCACCATTATCAGCTAATGAAACTAGGAGACCTCTAAATCATGAAATGGGATCTGTTCACAAGTCCCAAAGGAAACCGCTAGCTACTGAACAGAAGCGGAAAGCTCCAGGACCTCAACAAGAAGTGAGTGTGGCAACAGACAAACCTCTTGTTTATTACTACAAGCTACTTTTAGACATGTGTGTGATTGACCGTTTTGTTTGCGTTCTTGGTCCTTGGGCAGAAACTTAAAGGTCTTGACGCAGACGCAAAGTTTGAGTTTGCTAAAAGGAAACTTCAAGAGAGCTACCAACACCATGACAACGGTTCGTTTCTTTTGTTTTAAAACGCGCATTCTTGAAAACAAACCTTTGATTTACAAAGGAACATGTTTTGTGATCTTGCCAACAGCCAAGAAGCAGAGAACGATACAAGTAATTGATACGATCCCAAAGCAAGGCAGTGCTGCTCAGAAACCACAACTCAAGAGACCTGGAATGAACAACAGGAATTGGTCAAATGGGCGTAAATAGCTTCTTCTCTGTTCAAAATGGTGAATAACACACTCTCGGCGAAAGTCATTACTTTACATAACATACCTACGAGTATCAGCAATCTCTGGTGAAATAAGGTGAGATAGATTCTAGTTCCACTAGCTGGAGACAGAAACAAGTAGAGGAGAGCTTAACATAATCAACATCTGAACATTTCTTTTTAACGAAACTGTTAACTTCTCTGTTTTCTTCTGTCTGGAATTCCACCAGTTTGCAGCCCAATTGTTGTTACTTTCTGTGTTATACTGCATTCTTGACACGTTCGGTACAGTCCGGTTTAGTTTAATCCGGTTTGGTCGGGTCCCTTACATTACATTACGGTAGTATAACATATAAAATTGTAAAAGAGCGTTGCGTTGGTGGAAAAGCTTTTCGAATTGACCGGCTCTTTACCTAACTTTGTATTAGTGACGTGAAATGCATGCTTTGGTCCGTTTGGACTTTGGATCATAGCAATATAGATGATCACATATTTTTTCTTTTTTCAACTTAACAAAAATTGATTAAATATATTTTCTCTGTTTGTAGTAGATGATGTTTTAATTCTCTTTCCAAATTATATGACATTTTTAGTTTTCAGTGTAAATCTTATTAAGTTTTATGTTGCATGATTACTTACATTTTATAGTTTGTTTTTTCTATTAATTAAATTTTTATTAGTTAAACAGTTAATGATGTTTTGTTTTAGTAAATATATAAAATTATCATACATTAAAACATGCTTTATGCAAAACAGGATGCTTTATGCAATGATAGGCTTCTTAAAGAAGGTAGGTGGATAAGAAATGTCGTGGTTGTGACAGTTAACGTGGCTGGATAGGAATGTTGGATGGTGGCCTTTGTGCGTGTTATACATTTATTATAGATAAATGTATTTCTTGGGTTTATCATTGGGTATACTCTTTCATGCATTTCACCACATGGCACCACATGACTTCCATCACTTCTACTCTTAAGGGAAATTAGACAAAAAGAAAAAAAACTATGACAAGTGGAAAATTGCTTCGAATGGTAAAAACATATCAAGCGGTGCAGATCAAAAGGTTCATCCAGATTAAATATGATAAATACAGATGAAGAGGGATAAGTACAAATTAAGCGAATCATGCATGAGAGATGCAGATCGAACAATTATTATAGATTATGAATGAAAAAATCAGTTTAAAACTATAGACCATATATTCAAACAATAAAAATTAGGGAAATTTGGCCCTATGACAACAAAAAAACACAAATTTGTAAAATAGCCAAAAGTACACTCTCTCTCCAACTTTCTCTTCCTTTATCTCTCCTCCCTCTTACTACATAACTAATTTTACTTTTTTTTTGGTTAGTACACAAATAAGCCCTAAAAATTATATTAAAATATCAAAATAAATATCTTAGATGTTGTAGGGTCAGTCGAACTGTTAATTTAATTTTTCATAAAATGTTTGTACTTCTTCTATTTTTCGTTTTAATTGATTAAAATTATTTTTGAAGAACCAACAAGTTACTAATATTAAACTTTTTGTTAATATTTATATAGAAAGATTTGTATTTTTTTGTTGAAAAATATTGTGTTTTGTCTCTGACTGAATGCCATACTTATAATTTTAAAAATGAAATGCTTATAATTTTAAAATTGACACAAATAGTATTTATTCTGAACTATATTGTTTGAGCTAATCATTATATTTTATTTATAAAATCAAATAAATATATTTAAAGTTAGTGTTTGTAGCAAAATCATTTATAAGTAAAAAACAGATTAACACCATCAAATGTTAGCGGGTGAGATCTGCATGAGATCTCCTGCCTTTTTCACAAAAAGACAAAAGATATTGAATTGCATGCAGATCTCCCGTTTGAACTGCTTTTATAAACATAAAAACATGAATAGTAAAATCAGTGCAGGAGAACTGTGCACTTGTCTCGTTCTTCCATTCGAATATCTTACTACAAAATCTAACTTCTCTATTTTTATGATTATTCCACAAAGAAATTCTTCTACTAAAATAAAAAAAAATCAATATAATTGATTTTAGTGATTTAGGTTTTATGTCGACGAAATTGTTTAAGGAGGAACTAAATGAATAAGATAAATGAGACTGAAGCACTGAATTTTTGATTTGGAAAATTTTACACGAATCAAAATATAATTAAAGAAATTTTACATTGAATTTTTTTTTTTTTATATACAGCTTTATACTAGATGGATGTTTAAAGGCTAAAGATAATCATCAAATATCTTCTTACATATGAGACAGGAAAGGCCAAAACAAAGACTTGCATAAGTATAATACTGATGCAAGTTTCAGTTTAGAGTCCAACAGAACGATTGTGGGATGGATAGTAAGAAGTAATGATAGCTTTTCACTATTTTGGGATTTAAGTGTTGTTCGTAAAACTTTTACATCTATTAAAGAATAAAGATAGTCAGCACATACATTTTAACACATGAGACAAACTTCAGGTTGGGAAAGACCAAAACAAAGACTTGCATAAGTGTAATATAAATGTAAAGTTTTAGTTTAAACTCAAATGGAGCAATTGTGGGATGGTCCGGGAATGGTATAATAGCTTTCCATTATTTTTTTGGGATTTGAGTGTTGTTGGTACAACTACATTTATAGTAAGGATCGGAGTGTTGATAGCTTTCCATTATATATACTAGGAAACAAACTCACGCGTTCACGCGGGATATTAAATTCTTAATTAAAATTTTAAATTATTTAATTTAATAAAATGTGTATGCTTTATAACTATATTTATTTTTACTTTATAAAATTATTTATTTATTTTATCTCCCACATTTGTTAACTAGATATTTTTATCATACTCAAGTTTGTGAAATAGACTATACACATATAAAAAAATTAATTTGAATTAGTTTAAGTTTACCTTTTATTTTATTTTAAAATACTGTGCAATTAAGGATTTATGAAAAAGATGAAAAATTGTCAATGTGGATACTTCAAAGAAGAACAACCAACTTTGCAGTGATGTTTTAGTGATCTACCAAAACAACTCTTCACCTCTATAAAATATATAGGATTGATCAAAGATTTTTTTTTTTAGATAACTTAAATTTATTAATGAGATCATGAGTCAATTATACAAATGCATATAAAATTAAGGAAACATAACAAATCACATAGGAAATCTGTTGAAGAAAACAATAGAACACATGAAATAGCCTGAGAAGATGATTCTTTTTGAGTGGCTTTTATCAATAGAGTATCAACTATATTGATTTTCTTGTAATCTTTAAATCTTTGTCGCAATATAGACACCGTTTCTCTTTGTTGATATCATTTTCTTTGTTATATATATATATATATATATATATATATATATATATATATATATTTAGGAATTTTGATTTAAACGTAGTAAACAAAGATTAGAAAGACTAGTTTTCAACGAATGTATAAAACTACTTTGTGTTGCCACCTACTCTATGATACAGCCTTGATTTCAGAAATACATTTTTAAACCAAATATAAATAACGAAAGTCATCCTTGGACAACATCCAACTTCTTCATTTATTTCTAAATCTTCTTCCTTATATTGAGTCTACGGCCGATTTCTAGGTGGACGTTGTTTCCATAAAGAAATCCAATAAGATTGGTGTCAAGCATAGGATATATATATATCACTCTCACAACAATTACCAGAAATTTTCATTTGCATGACATTGACATACCATGGTGGTTTCTGTGGCAATTGTCTCTAAAATAAAGTAGATACGATGATTTCCTTACCATCTGATTCTTAATCAACAGTCTTATCATCAATCATAACCATAGAATTCATGTCGTAGATTGCAACATCAAATTGGAAGGAAGTAAAACTAATTTATAATTCGCCATAAATAAATATTTTCTCCAGAAGAAATAAACGAACATACACAAAATTATCAAAATTACACCTTGATCAGAATTATTGCTTAGAAATTAAGAGAAGACAATCACCATCTCTATCGCTTTTAACCGTCCCTCTCTATGCGCGCTTTATGCATCAAAACTCTTATGTTAACTGACCAAAGATTAGTTGAGTGTCTGACAAATTGTATAGAGGTTTTATACAAATTCTTAAATTTATCAAGATATAATTGTCTGGATAAATGGGAATTTTAGAAGACGCAACTGTTGAAATTTTTTAGTGAATGAACTGGTTATTCTGAGAGATGTAACTACTTCGATGAATGGAGGGCTTAAACTTTTAATCTCAGCCCTAGGTAATACATATTTAAAATAAATGAATCTAAAGCATTTAATTAAAAAATTCTATAGAGAATGATGATATAAAAATACTTAAAAGTGAGTTCTTAATATTCTAACCCATAAATACGAATATAGTTTAAGATTAGACAAAAAAAACTGATGTGTGCAAACTATTATGTTATAAAAATAGTGCTTAAAATTATGTTGCATATAACTCTCCAAGATAATAAATGTTTCTTTATGAATATATATTATAGAATAAATACAGTAACTTGTACAAGAGATACAATTATTTCAATGAACATATGCTTTTTTATTTCCAATAGAAACTCTACATAAATAATTCACGCTTATAATATTAATCTAAATCATTAAATTATACTTTCCTGAAAACCAAGTTCGTGTATTGGCACGGTTGGAAGTAAAACTTACAATAGGTCAATTTTATATGTTTTCCAATTTTATGAAATTTAATTTTTGTATTTATAGTTATTTTAAAGTGTTATTATATCATTAACATCACCACATTTAGTTAGATGTTAAATTATATAATAATATAAAAGCTTAGAAATATTTATCTTATTATCAAATCTGACAATTGTTAGATAACTATCTTAGAAATTCAAGGGCAGGAATAAAATAAACTATACACATAATGACAGACAAATATATTAAAAATACTAAAATGTTTGAAAAAATATTTAATACGGCATAGTATGTTTATGGTAAATTAAAAATGGAATTTCGTGAATTTATTTCCTTTAAATATTTATATAATATATTGTCAGAGATGGTTCAATTTATATCTATCACATTCTTTTTCTTTTACATTTTTGTTTTGTATTCAAAAACCAACAGTAATATATATATATATATATATATATATATATATATATGTATCTTATAAAAACATAATGCTCGCACCAAATAAATTTACTATATATTTCAAATATAATCTCACATGATTTGTTCATGCTTGTGATCTTATATTGTTTGACATATGATTTTCTGCGTGTCGTTGATCGTGCAGTGTAGAAAATGCAGGATCAAGCAAAATTTTGTCTTCTGTGAGAAACATTATATTCAATCCTTTCATTTGCAGAAGAGCAATAATCAGAAATATTTCATCTCCCAAACCTCTAAAAACTCTATGCTCTACTCATCACGGATCTAGTATCTTCGAGGTGGTTTTTCTAAAGCTACAACCTTCTTGTAGGCTAGTATTCACCATTCTTAGAACTACCGGTTAGTTCCTAATTTAGATCTATCTACCATATTTACCTTTACTGTTTCAGTTTTAGTTAGATTCTTCTAGTCAATCTTGTGCTCAATCCTTACCATGTGATTACAATCTGTTTTCTTGCTTGAAAGATGTAAAGGTAGTCTCTCTTCATGGTTTGTAAATCGTAGCTTCTTTTGTCGATTTGGAGCAGATCAAAAAGATTGGAGTTTTCAATATAAGGTGTTCTCACAAATGATTTTTGTCTAGATCAATCGAGTATTTCTAGAACTTCAAGATTCTGGCATCAGGAGCTTGTGATCTTTATTAAGTCAAAAGCTCTGTCAGCGGTATACATTCAGATATTTCACCACCACTGACAAAACTCTGCGGCTTTAATCACCGGAATTATAATGAAAAGCTAGCTCACAAACCCTAACCTTCACATCCCATTTTGGAGCCTCGTTGTCGCTCAAGTTTGAGGAAGAACACGCACCTACACAACTCTGATCCAAGAGAAGAATCAACGTCATAGGGTAACAAACTACTAAAACCATCATCTTAATCGAACCACTGCCAGCATATGCGATCAAACCGTCAGAAACATATCCTTGATATCTAGCTTGCGGCCTCCGGCAGAGCCTCTATTGTCCTCGAGTAGAGAGTAACTGACATGAACCGATGAGCCACCATAACCCGGAAGCTATTGTAGGGAACCATCATATCAGTGTCTGTTCGACGTTCAGACTTTGACAAAGATGTGCCTCCGATCATCACTGAATCTCGTCTGCTCCATCCATACGGAATCCGTGAAACAAGGAATGTAGAATATACATCGATTCAATTTGGCTAGTGCAAAGAAGTTGAGAGATGTTAGATTTGGAATTCACAACCGCTCAAAGACTTTTACCACCAATGACTTTTTCTAAATGATCAGTTCAATGAAAACAAATATATACTAGTGAAATCAAAATCAACTTATTCTTTTGAAAAATTCATCCATTTCGAATCTTATAAAGTCGATTAAAAAAAGCACTCATAGCACATATTAGCATATTTAATCCTAATTTTGACGAGAACAATTTTAATAAATGTTCTTTTAGATTACCTCTGTTAAATTGTAAAAGGAGCAATATACAAATGCACAAGTCTCACAAATAAGAGTAATTCTTGGGTTCACCCTTTAGGGTGAATCTCTAGTTTCACCAACCAATAAAATTACATTATTTTATATTCAATATCTTTTAAAAAAGAAAACAAAATATTTTTGAGTTATATTATATTTTTAAAATTTAAAAATAAAAAGAAATAAAAAATAATAGTATTTGCAAAAAAAGAATAAAACTTTTTTAATCTAATTTATTAAAACAGGAACATTGTTAACTTTTGCCCTTATTATTACTTGGAATATTACTTATTTTGCCACTGGACCTACTTACAAAATTATTTTATATAACTAGATTTAATCTAACACTATTAAAAGTTGCATATACTCAACAGAGAGGCCTCCACGTCAGATAAAATATTCAGGCCAATAGGGTCATGTTATTATGCCACGTCACTGCCATCTGTGTTTGTCGGTTGGCTTAGTTTTTTGGAGCTTGTTACATTTTTCTTGGGCCGTTCTACTTACAGATTAGGCCAAGCTTCCTCTCCTCTCCCTGCCTCTCATCCTCACCGAATCCTCCTCTCCTTTCGTTTTGTTCTTGACTTTTCCAATTCTCCAAAATCTCTTGTGCCTCCTGCATCAAGGGAGTAGCTCGGTCTGGATTCATTAGCAACTTCTCCTGAAGTTTGATGCTTTGTAGTGGATCTTATCTTCAGTTTTGCCGTGAAAATTTGCTAGGATGCGAAGGTAAAATACATTGTCTCTGAGTCACAGAGATGCAACACACCAAGAGCTATAGGTCACAACTATACACTACAAAATCCTTCATAAAACAAATGAGGTGCAAGGTATATGGTCACTAAAAAAAACCTTTTTTGAGATATGATAATTCAGATTTTAGATTTTGCTTACATTATATGCTTAAAGCTTTTTCCGTTTACATGCAACACCATATAATCATAATCTCGCACAAGCTCCGATTCAATCGGTTGATCCGTATCAGTTGGTTCTGATCTCTGTTATTGTGTTGTTGGTTTGTTACGTTTAGGTTGTGGCAAGATTCGCAGCACAGAGTTGCACTAAACACTGTGCTCAAGAAACATTATGAACTGGTTGGTCTTTCTTCTACTTCTCTTAAATCTTTCAATAGAATGTTTCATTCCTCAATCTGAATAAATTCTTTATTGTGTTCAATGTTGATCATGTTCTTGTGGAGTGTAGAGGCCTAAGGCTCTTACGGTGGATGACAAGCTAAAGGTCCTTGGATGCAAGTAAGCTGTTTTTTTTAAATTCTGATATGATGTTTTTTCTTATCATCTTCTTTAACTTAACAGAAGATGTAACTAATTGTTTTAATAGAGATCTTGAGAGGAGAATTGTTGAAACTGAAATGGAGTTGGCACAGGCGAAGAGTCAAGGCTATCTTAAAAATCAGAAAAGTCACTTGAAACGCAATAGATTTAGAGGTTCTTGGATGCCACAAGGTTAGAGTAATAGTACTATCACCATCAATGTTTGCTCATCATACAACAATGATTTACTTTAAAAAAAAACATTTTCTTCTCTTTAGATGATGCTTTGAAAAAGCTTGAGGAAAGAGGAGTTGTCATACGCTTTGTGATTGGTCGGAGGTTTTTTCCTACTCACTTTAGTCTTCATTTCTTTTGATTTTTTTTCCAATTGTTGGCAATGCTTTTTTCACGCTGTCTCATCATATGGGTGATAAACTGATAATACTGATGTTGATGCTTTATAAATATCCAGTGCTAACCGAGGTGATAGCTTAGACCGGAAAATTGATGAAGAAAATGGTGCAACTAAATACTATTTGATATAAACAAATATGATATTTTTTCTAGCTCACTTTGTAGAACACGTATGTTTGCTTCTTCTTCTGGCCATGTTATACTCAGTGCTGGTCAAGCTTTTAGGCCTTGTCTATGTCCTTATTTGTGATGCAACCTTATATTCAATAGGGTTAATGGATTGTATGTGCAGGTGGTTGTTGCTGTGGATTTCAATGACCAAGCCACAGGACAGCAAACAATGCAGCAGAATCTTCAAAACATCAGCCTAAAAACGGGCGCTCACATGGAATCTCACGCAGCCTCGGTCCTCACTCCTTTCGCGTTCTCCAAGCTCCAGGAACAGCTTGTACTTGCAGCTCACTACGCTTCGTTCCAGATGGAGGACGGGTATCTCGTGAGGCACCACACAAAACTCGATGGAGGAAGAAAAGTGTACTGAGACAAAGAAGGCATCATAAGCTGCAGTTGCCAACTGTTTTGAGTTCTCTGAGTTTCTCTGCAGGCATGCGCTTCGTGTCCTCTCAACCAGAAACTGTTTCCAGCTCCTGGACAGGTATCTTCCTCTGAGGTGGCGCAGGATCAGCACATCGTTTAGCAAGAATTAAAATTAAAGCAGTTGCTTGATGGCATAATAATTCTATTATTCTCAAACAACTAAATGGATTCTTAGGCTTGGGTACACTATTATAGATGTTTTATGCAGTGTTTCACAAGTTTTTGTGACAAGTTTCTCTAGAATTTTATCTATCAAAATAAATTGAAAATCAATTAGAAAAGTTAAAGAAACAAATAAAAAAATAAATAAAAACTGGTACAATATCTCTCTGAAAAATCAACATAAAATATTTAATTAAAAGAAAAAAATACATTATGTCTTATAAACTGTGAAAAGTTCAAAAGATTTTGAAAAATTAAAAGATACATAATATAGCTAAAAGACTGATGTTGAATCTTTTAAAATGTCAAACCTTTCTTATTAAATTATAGTTATACACATATATCATATCTTTAAAACATGTTGGAAATTTAGTATTTTCACAAATTAGTTATAACTTAAGAAATATTCCGAGTAACTTCTCAAAAATTATATATTTTGAAATATACTATCTCTTTATAAACTATAAAATACTATTTTAGTGCTATTTTCAAAATTATCATACTGAGAGATATATTTAGAAAATAAAGTGAAGTGATAATTTAGTAGTTTTGAAACATATCATGAAAACATAAATACAATATTTGTTGAAGGTGTAAACTTTGACAAACATAAATTCCACTACAATTTTCAAGTTTGTTGCCTTGCATATTGCCGAATGGAAAATCAGATTGGGTCCTTAAAATGATAAAGACCAGCAGAATAACCGAACTCATAATTAAACCTAGAGAAAGTAAACAAGGCACAAATTATACTATAGGTGTCTTATATTTATCAACATAATTAGAGACAATTTGCAAGTAATCAACAATACATATGCTTGACAAATCAATTTATATTAATAAAAACATCTAAATGAAAATTTAAACATTCTAGACAAAAGAGACATAGAAATAAAATCAAACTAAAACAACAAAAGTGAAGTTAATAAATAAAATATTATATCTTACATATTAACATTCAACAACTGTTTCCAAATTGATAACATATATTTGAAGTGTTTGGAGAATTTTTTCTTATGGTGTATTTATTTATAGTATACTATACTAAATCTAAAATTAAATATAATCTAAATATAAATATATAAATGAAAATAATAAATATTTCAAAAGAGGTAACCCGCGCAGAAAAAATCTCTAGTCTGCTTTTCCTTTTTGTACTATTTTGGAACTTTCTTTATATCATTGCATCAGTGTTATAAAAAAAAATTTAAAAGCAACCACGATCTATTCTCTACCCTAAACAGTTACGTTTCCCTTCTATACATTAAACAGTTGTATTTATTGTTTTATATTTTACACATGGATCAGAGTTTGTGTCTGTTTTGTAATTATATGTCTTCATTGTTTGCAAATGGATTTAGCCCAATTAACAAGACATTTTTCTTCATTGTGTACATATACAACTATTTGCCCATATCACAATACTTTTTTATTTTGATTTACCAAGTATCATAATAGTATAATTCTTTTAAAAACAAAAATTTATAAATCTTGAAGTATCTAAAATAAATTATTTATATAATGGTCTAAAATTGAGATTGAAATATATCATATCAAACTTTAAATTATTTTTTCTAATAAAAAGATACTATTTTCAAGTGAAACAATAATTACAAAAAAAATTATTACCAAAAACATAACAAAATATTTTTGGATAACACACATAAAAAAAATATATATATATATATAATTCACACAATAGATTAGAACATTTTGATATAATTTTACAAATAAAGTGTCTTCACATCAAAAATTATAAATCTATTTAAAATTTATTAAATAATCAATAAAAATAAAGAAACATGACCTATTGATATAGGTGTAGTGCAATTATTATTTTCTTTTATTTAAAGTTAAATCAAAATGTATATATCACTCATACATAACCGTTTGTTCCTACTTAACCGTTTGATCATGGATATATATGTGTTTAGTGGTCGCCATACTTTCGTTGATAATTTCTAATAGAACTGTGCTATCTAATACAATAAAGTTGGCTTTTGTCCCTTCTTAGGGTGTCCACATCAGCTTTTAGAAGGGGGGCAAAAAAAGACACATCAGCACTCATGAACTTAAATTATACCGGCCCAATTTGTTCAATCGTGTGTTGGTTTAATTTGGTTTATTTTTCTAGGTTTTGGTTTGTTGTTTGGTGATGGGCTTCGTTTTAGGGTGTTGTATAAGCCCAAATTTTTAAGGCTTCCGTGGGTTTGCTTTCGTTGTCGTAGAGTCCTCTTTTTTAGGTTTTCGTGTCTCTGCTCTCTTCCTTTGCGAGCCATTTCCTCATCTGTATGGCGCCGGGAACGTCATCTACACATTCGTAACCGCTGCCTTCTACCATAAATGAGTTCTTTACTCCCACCTTAGGAACCTTGACCACAGTTACGGCCATTATTTTCATCTCTTCCACTTCCACGCCCATAGGTTGAGTATAAATAACTCTGCATCGAAAGATGTCGATCTCATCCCAGACGCTCTCCAAGAAAAGAACAATCAAACGAATCCCGCGATGTCAAACTCCTACACACTCCTTGCTGATTTGAAGGCCGGCCGGTGCTCGAACACGGCGGAGGTTCGACTTCTTCGTTTTCAGGAGGCTAGAAACACCAGCTGGAACAGCAGCCGGTCCGGTCAATGATGAGCATTGACATGTTGTTTATTGATGAGAATGTAAGGACACGAAAACCTCTAATTTCTCTATAGATTTCCCCCTCTTACAATGGTTTCTGTTTGTGTAGATCTGTGAAAGGTTTAGACAATGTTTTGTTGAGATTATATATCGACAGTAATCTGTGTTTTATTTCGTGATTGATTTGTTTCCTTTATCGAAGATTTATTGCGTGAATGATTTGTTTCCTTTATCGAAGATTTGAAATATTTATTTCCTGTTCTCAAATATTTTATTTGTGTGATTTATTGGTTTACATTTACTGTTTTTTTTTTTAAATTACCAACTAGGCTACGATGATGCAAGCATCCATTGCTGCGATTCGACAGGTTTAGCGAGGAACAAAAGATGCTGTGAGAGATGCTGTGAGAGATGCTGTTCTAGAGGAGGAAGATTATGATGATGGTGGTGGTGGTTCTCTTGCAAAATCTCCTCCTACCATACCCAACCCACCTGCTGGGTTTTTGATTGATGAAACTGGTAGAGTTCTTATGGCTTCTAAGAAGCGAATAGCTACTGTCGTGAGTCACTCTTCTTTCCTTCCCGTAAAGCTTCATTCTTTGATGTTTTTTCTGGGTGATAGAAGGAGAATTTTTGTTGTTGTGAATGAGACAGCTTGATCCGACAAACAATAGCCCTTTGGATTGTGGATATCGTTGCTTTAGTTAACTGGAATTCATGGTTAATGGTAAAAGAACATCATTAGACATTTAATAGTTATTTCTTGGTTTCAATAGGAAGGCTTTATCATGTTGACTAAATCGTTCTTTTATCAAAGTTAATATTCAGATAACTTTTTAATCGATAATAAGTCTTATAAAATAATAATTTGTTTTTGTTGGATAACTTCATGATCTTAGTTTTAAAGTTTGACTTTTTTTTTAGCAGGTAATGTTTATACAAAAGCCAACTTGATCTCAAGAGAATTCATGATAAATGTCAGTGCAACGATGTAAGATTTTTCAAAATTAGTAGTTTTTGGGTTAGCTTTTTGGAAGTAGAGAACTGAATCTCTTGATTTGTTCAGCGGATCGTGGAAGGAGAGAGTTCATGTAAGCCTAAAACGAGGAGAAGATCTTTAAATTCTGAAAGAGAAGATGAGAACTGTGAATTTCAAGTCTGTTGGGGCTGCTATCAAACTTGATCCTAACATGAAAGTACCCTGTTTGGTAAGTTTATAGTCTCTCTTTTCTGGTTTAGATTGTGCATATATACCTTTTCAACTTTATGAACTTCACTCAAACAGAAACTTCGTACAATAGGTAACAATCTAATAAAAAATAATAATCAGATTTGTATTCCGCAATCAAAAGATTTTGTTAACATTTACTTTTAGATTTATATTTATAACATAATTTTGCTATACGTTCAATCTATAATTGAATAAAAATTGGGTATAATGTCTGATTTGGAACTCTTTTTCGACAAGTGCATCTAAATTTTATTTCAGTGAATTTACTACCATGATTGTTGCTTTTTTTGTCTGTATTTGCTATACCCAGATTTTTAGGTTAAGAAGCTCATAAATTTTGAAGAATTCTCTAAATTGAAACTTTACGTGTAGCTTTAGAATTCCTCTGTTGTCACAGTTGACAACTCCTTCAGCCCGTCTCACACATTACTTCAAATACGTTACGTTGATCACAGAGGTCTTCTCTATGATGTACTAAGAACCTCGAAAGACTTTGACGTTAAGTTAAATGTCAAAACCATCAAGGTATTATTATTAGTTATTTATTACAAAGCTTTTCTCTGTGACCATCTCTCAGTTTGTGTGCAGATATCTTATGGCAGTTTCTTGCCTCGGACACAAGGTTATAGGGATATAGAGCTATTTGTTCAGGTGGGAGATGAGAAGAAGATGGTGGATATTGATGAGCAATGTTCTCTATTGTTATTTATTGAAATTTTTTTTATTGTTATTTTCTCATACATAGCTTCTGTTTTTTTTTTCTATCTTGAGGCAAGAAAGTTTGCAGCCGAGTGCTAATGTTGTGTGTATTTTAAACGAGTGTCTTCGCCAGATTGTAACCAATCTACACGTGACGAACTGATGGAACCCCGAATGGCGGATGTGCATGCGAAGAGAAAATCTAGAAATCACATTGTTAGCT